GCTAATTTAGAGCAAAGGCTGAACTGAACAGTAACTGAACACGACCTCTCAATGTGATGCTGTGTCCAAAAGACCTAGTGTGATCCTGGGATGCATAAATGAGAATCTCTAGTAGTAGTAGAGAGGGTTTTTTTTTAACCTCTGTATTTGGCAATGGTGTGACCGCTGCTTGAATGGTGCGCATAGTTCAATAAGGATGTTCATAAATTGGAGAGGGTTCAGAGAAGAGCCACGAGAATGATTAAAGGATTAGAAAACATGCCTTATAGTGATAGACTGAATCTGTTTAGTTTAACAAGGAGAAGGTTAAGGAATGACTTGATTACAGTCTATAAGTCTCTACACGGGGAACAAATATTTAATAATGGGTGCTTCAATCTAGCAGAGAAAGGTATAACACGATCCAATGGCTGGAAGTTGAAGCTAGACAAATTCTGACTGACCATTTTTAAATCAAGATTGGATGGATACCTAGCACACTCATGCAATTACTTTGAGGAAGTTCTGTTGCCTGTGTTATACAGGAAGTCAGACTAGATGATCACAATGATCCCTGCTAGCCTTAGAACCTATCTATGACTCTCTGAATAAGAAAGATTGGTTGACAGGTATCTCTCAGTTATCTTTTTCCCTCATACTCCTTTTGTGTCTCTCTTTTATTAGTAGCAAAGTGTTAGAAGTGTGTGGGTTAATTTTATTTAATCTGTACTTCTTTAATATACTGTATGTATTTGGGATAGGCTAGGTCAAGGAGGTTTTATTGATCCTTTCATTATCTCTGAGTTCTCTGATTTGTTTTAATTGCCTTCATTTAGTCTAATTTAGATGATATTTCAAGTAAAATTAGAATCACAATTTAGTTGCAAAAGAAAACCTAGAACACAGTACAGTTTTATACTAACTGGCTGTTAATTAATGAATTGACTTTTTAAAAAAGAATAATTCTTAATGTCCAGTGTTAATTACCATTTTTCACTAATATATAAAGGCAGTTAAAATAAGTGTTTCATTTCACTACTGATAAATTAATATTTGCTAACTGCTGTGTTATGTGTATAAGACTGACACCAAGATGGTAGATCCACAATTAAAAAAAAAACAAAAAACACTTTTGTTCAAAGATATTCTTTTGGATGATCAAATGTTAACCATAGAGAAATTTCTGACTGCTGGTTGATAGGGTCATGCATATATAATTGGTTCATATGTTCCCTTGTTACAACAATATAATATACCACTGGGGGCGGGATTGATTTAAGTCACCAATTTAAATCATGATTTAAATCATCCATTTAATCTTGTTTTTCATTTGTATTTTTAAAATTATTTTCCTAAAGAAAGGTTCATTCTCACTAGTCTCACATGTGATCACTAACACATACCCTTTACACTAAATTTGATAATTCTTTTTGCTAACCAGGAGGATATACACATGTATTTAAGCAATTCTTTGGATTAACATACATTTATTCAGATTCTTATTTTTTATGATTGTATATTAAATTAGAAAATGAATGACACTTTTTATTTACTAGGTAATTAATATTTATCCATATTTGTGTCAAGCTGCACTTGGATGGAAATTGAAATTCAATTAAAATGCACAAAAACAACATTTTATAAATTTTTATTAGTTAAATAATAATAACCTTAAATGTGCTGGATACATAAAGAAAAAAAGGTAGTTTTCTCAAAACATGTTCTGCATTTAAAATTGATTTTATTAAATTAAGTATTATCTGTAATAAGTATATTGCACTGATACTTTTTCTGTACACCATGTCCTTCAAGGTTTTAGAAATAAAAGATCTCATCCTCTTGCACTTCATTTTTATTCATATATTGGCAGAGGAAAACAAGCTTGCTTTCTTTTTCAACTCCCAATCAGTTTCTCAACTTGGAATGAACTGGTCATTGAACTGAACTAGTCGAATGAACTGAAATGAAGAAACTGTTTTTTCAGTAACTGCAGAAGAGTCTACTGCTGTCAAAAGTTGGTTTAGCACTTCAACAAACTCTAAGTCCAGGTGCTTAGCCTGTGACTTCATTTCATTGGTTTGACTTTCTTTAAAACTTTGGCAACAAATGTACTGCTTGAATATTATTTTTTAATTTAAATGATTTTCATACATTATAGTAAGTTTAGGCCTTAATATGTGTTGTCATAATTTTAAAGTTTTTTAAATTGATTTTTATCCACTCTACATACCACTGTGCTGTCAAATTAAGAATCCTAATTATGAATGGCTTGCTTTATACAGTTAATGTTTGAAGTCAACTTATGTAATAGTTCTGTATGTTCTAAAATTTTTAAGTAATTGCTCTCACATCATAAGCCTTAATACCATCATATAGAAAATGGACACTAGACTAGATTTAGCCTATTATACCTAATCTACAGGGAAAGGTGCAAATTACTTTGTTATATAGTCGCCTCATCTAGTTTCATACAAGGGGAAAAAAGTGTTTAAATTACTAATAACACAACAGTCTACAGGCATATCAATCTCACCTAAGGTCCAGGTAGGCCTACTTTATCCCAGACACCTCCACATCAGAGGACTGGGGTTCAGTCTACTTTACAGTAGCCTCTGCCTTTTTCCCCTTTTCTTCAGGGGCTGAGTTTTTAACCACCTCATAGTTCTTTTTCAGTTTCCTAACTGGTTTCTCTCTTACTATGGATACAGTTGTATTTAGCTGGGATTAAAGTAAAACTTCAAAATGAATGACACCTGCATTGTCACTTAAGTATCTGTAAATGGGGCTATCGCAGGGATCAGCAACCTTTGGCCCGCGGCCCGCCAGGGTTTGTTTACCTGCCGCATCTGCAAGTTTGGCCGATGGCGGCTCCCACTAGCGGGCTGCGTGCCAAAGGTTGCTGGGGCGGTTTGTTTACCTGCTACGTCTGCAGGTTCGGCCGATCACAGCTCCTACTGGCCGCGGTTCACCGCTCCAGGCCAATGGGGGCTGCGGGAAGCGGTGCGGGCCGAGGGATGTGCTGGCTGCTGCTTCCCGCAGCCCCCATTGGCCTGGAGCGGCAGACTGCGGCCAGTGGGAGCCGCGACCAGCCGAACTTGCAGATGCGGCAGGTAAACAAACCGGCCTGGCCCTCCAGGGTGCTTACCCTGGCGGTCCGCATGCCAAAGGTTGCCGATCCCTGGGCTATTGGATGCTGTGATGTGCTTTCCTGCATAGTGCTCTCAGCTCCTGCTGGAAGTAACCGTTTGTAATCTTATAGCAGAAAATGCTAACAATCAGACAAGATTTATAAATGTTTATAAAATATTACAAGTGTTTGTATGGCCTTCACACCAAGTATATATGGTGGCTAGTATATAGGACAGATACTTCCACAGTATTGGCTGCACACCACCTTATAACAGTGACTTTACACGGTTCTCTACTCTTAGCAAGTGCTGCAGCCTGCCAGTAGGCCTGCCCTGCCTCTCACATGTCACTTTAGGAACACTTTTTTGCCCTCCTGTTCCTTCCAGCGGTAGCAGGCCTGCTAACTGAAGCACGCACCGAGTGCAGGAAACAATGCTCGTTCAGTAATAATGGCATAATCCTGACTAGTGCCTAACTATGTCTATAGTTGTCTTCCTGCTCCTTGTCATGTCTACTTCCGGTGGCTTAGTCTTTATATTCCTGCCAAACAGGTCCTGCTAGTCATACGTTTTCCTCTCTCCTTTCCCTCCCAGTCCACTCTGTCTAGTGCACAGCCACCATGGCCACTTATGCTCCACGCAGGTCCTGGATCTGCTTTATCTCCCTCTCCTGGGAAAGGTTTTCCTGCACCATGGTATCCTGATGTACCTCAATGATGTCTTCTCCAAGGGCAGTTTTCCCTTAGTCCCTAGATTCTTCCCTCAGTAGCCCTTTTCACTGTCTTTTTTTAAGCTGCTATCCTCAGTTTCTCTCATCCAAATAGAAGGGCAAAAAGTCCTGAGGAAAAGGATAGGCCAAGTCCTCCTCCATTTCAGAGGATGGTCAAATACTCTGCTTCCATTGAGGAACATAATATAAATGCACAAAGTCATACAGTGCCCTGAAGAGAAACCTATCTATATGACCATAGGAAGGCGAGTAGATGCATTGCCCAAACTGGTTGCCCAAGTTATGTAAAGACCCTGAAACTCAAAAGAGCCCCAGGCTTATTCATTGAATAGGAATCTGAAATCCACCATTTAAGAGGGATTATGTTGTTTTAGCTGCAGCTCTGTGACAGGCCATGTCCTATGTTGTAACCTCTAAAGGCCTTGAGCAAACTGCATATATCAAATCTAAGTAGGCTGGGAAAGTATAAAACCTAGTTAAGGGTCTTTGTTCCTCCAATATGATGTGTCAAATTGCATTACATGCTTTACATTCCATTTCATGCTGTTCTTCATCATTGCTAAATGTGGATCTGTGAGCATCAGAACATCTAAATCTCACTTGGTACAGGCCAGGACTATCATTCTAAAGCTGTTTGGAGAGATCCTGTATATCATAAAAGAATGTCTGGACCTCAGCAAACTTTGACTCTCTCTAGACAAGAAGGTTAATTCTGGGTCCTCCTTTCAGAAGTCCAAGAGTAAGCAGGGGCCTAGCATTTCGGCTCTAGAAAAGTAGCTACATCTGTTATTGTGGGCATTTATATCATGCTTGTCACAATGGTAGCTAAACTTAAAAATGAAAGCTTGCCCATTTAAACCTCCCTCCCATCCTTTCGGGTGAGTGGATGACCTATTTAAATCAGTATCCTGCCCTTTAATGTTTTCTTAAGTTTTTGGAAGCATCTTTGGGGTAGCGTGAGTCACTCCTAGCCTTATAACAGAGACATTGGCACCAAAACCATTTTAGAGAAATGCCTCTTTGACCACGTTCATGAGTGGGCCATCCAGTGATTTGACTGGTGAACTGTGTATACACCGGACTACCAATGTATAGGTAAGAAACCAAATAGTTCTGTCTCTTCAATTTATCAGAACTGAACATGTATCACTACTTTCTTTTAGAAGATGATCTAATGCAAACATGGCCAGTGGATGCTCAAATTTATCTTGAAGACATGTCCTGGAATAAGGGTATGAATGTTTCACTTTTTTTATATTGGGAGAGGAGGGATGGGATAGCTAACAGACTTGGCTAGAGTCATCCTGGCTGCTTCTTCAGGGCAGGTCTACACTACCGCTTAAGTCGATCTAACTTACATAGCTCAGGGGTTGAAAAAGCCTCCCCCTATACCGCCCCGTAATGCAAGTTTCAAGGCAAGTCCATACCGGGGCTATGTCAGCAGGAGACGCTCTCCTGCTGACATAGCTTATAGTTTTTGCCAAGGTGGAGTAATTATGCTGACAGGAGAGCACTCTCCCGTCAGCATAGCGCGTCTTCACCAGATGCGCTACAGCGGCACAGCTGCATTGGTGCACCTGCACCGATGTAACACTGTAGTGTAGACTTGCCCTCAATCTTTGAGCCTCTTTGAGCTTTTTAATGTGCCTTGACTGTGATGACTGGAAATGTTTGCTAAGTTTTCTATATCTCTTTTGACATGTTATTGTTCTGATTTATCTAAACTTCTGTATGTTGCTTGTCTTTCCCTTTGAAATTTACTTCCTCCCCCTTCTTTTTTTGTTTTTGTTTTCTTTGCTTGTATTTTGACTTTATTTAATTTTTGCTGCTCTATTCTTCATTGCCCAATATTTTCCTTTTTCTCATCAGTCTCATCCTCTCATATCTTTATAAGTTATGCAAATGCCCTTCCTCAGTGCTGCTAGCTATAGATTTGGAATTGCCACTTGGCTTTCCATGGTAGTCAATAGTTTTGCTCTCCTTTTGCTGTTTTCAGTGGTAGAGAAAACCCACCCTTCCTCAGAGAAGTAAGTGGGTTTGAATCCTTTGCTGTTCTCACACACAAGATTTCCATTTTGTCAGTGTTTCACCTCTCTACTTCATTATAATTTGGGAGGTTTTATCATTTGACATTTTATTTTTAAAAATCGTGGAAACTGTGTAACTTGTCCTCTCCTTTATGCTCCCCCTCTCTCCTCCAACCTAACTTCAGAGCTGTTTTTGAATCTTCATAACCTGCATTACTGAGGCCAATTATTAATCACAGAAAATTGTATTTACATCCTATCTGTTTTCACATAAGTGATTTCCAGACTTCTCCAAGATTCTTGGCATTCTCTCAGAATCCAGTCCTCCTTGCTCAGAGTTCACCACTGGTTCTCTGCAGATTCCTAGCACTACTTCATTGGTGGGGGGTACACTTTTAAAAAATTAATTATTATTATTTGTTTTTATTAATGAAAAGATTCCTCTCCTGCTAGGCACAGGGAGTGCCTCATAGTCAATGAAACACTAGCCTTTTATGTTACAGCTATAGCTATCTGAGAGTTAAATACTGTTGCAGGAACTGTTGTATTCAGGCTCTACTTTTCTTAATAGTGATAAGAGGTCCTTCACAAACTCTGCAAACTTATAACTTCCATCATCAGTTCAACAGTAAGATTACATATTTCAATCTTAAAAAGGAGCTTTGCAATGATGGCTTCAAACAATTTGTTTGTGCTCAAGCACTAAGTTTTTTTTTAAATTGTTTGTTTCAACAGATGAAGAATGTTATACACGCTTATGCCGATGTGGTGGGAAGTATACTGTCTCCAGAAATGAAGCTGAAGAGGTTTCCTTGGTTTGCTGTGACACATGTTCATTAATTATAGAGATCCTTCGATGAAATAAGAGTTGTCCCACTTGCATGTGTTGGTTTCATCCAGCTGAATAGTCAGTGGACAGAATCGGTTAGTAAATGTTTCAGGGGAAAGGTGTGCATTGCAAGTGCTAGCACACTGTCAGGGCTGAAAAGGAGGGCTTAAGTCTATTTTCAAGATTTAACCAGAAGACCTTAAACAAAAGAGCTGTAAGTGTTTCAGTTAATCAAATTAGACACATTTCTGTACTTAATAGAATTTGAACTGTCCTGTGAAAATGGTGCTTGTTCTGCTTGTTTTCACTGATTTGAAAACTGTCCTTTTCCTGCCCTAAAAATGAGTCCTTTCATCATTTTTAATTAATTTATTTACATTCCATTTGTTTGTTTGGTCTAGATGCCACTTGTTTCTCCTCAAGATTATAGCAGTTATAGCTGGGGGACTACCTTCAGAGTAGCTAAATCTCACATTACCATCAAAGACGACAAAAGTTACCTTATAAACACTTAACATGAGAAGTATTTTTCTGAAAACAAAACTGTTACTGGAATTGGAAGAGAATGGAGATCAGCCTAATATGTTAAAAGGAAGGAAGGTAAAATTTCTAGGAAGCAGCTGCTGTACAAAACAATGGTCCTGTGCCTTTTTAAAAAATGGTCAAAGCTTTTTAAGCAATCTTACAATATGCATATGCAACTGAATTGAGGGGCTTATGTGCACAAAGTTGTTACCTCTTTCCTACATGTCACGTGTTAGTAGACTCCAGTAGTTAAGATCAGAGCCATGTAATAGTTTAATGACGTCTCCCATATATTAAGGACTGCATTTCTGCAAATGTGCTGTTTGAAGTGTTGCTAATACAGAGTGGTTCTGCCACCTCAAGAATTTGCATGGTGACTTTTGTCCAAGAAACAGCTTTGCAATCATAGTTTTGTCTAAGTCATTTGGACTTTTAATTTAACTACATTGGTAATATTTTATGAATGGAAACTTGAGCGTAGGTCCACAATAGGATTTAGGCACCAAGTCAAAAATTTAGATCCTCCAAGCCCCTGCTAAGCTGCTGCCTAACCCTGCATGTGGCTAAAATCTCTAGGTGACTAAGTTGCCAGTGGTGAAATCCCCAACATGCCTATATTTCTGTGAGTGGACAAGTACAAAGCCACCTAAGTCCTGACACTGCTGAGCTGCTCAGGGTCTGATCTGGTAGGTGTTCTCAGAGTCTGCCTAAGAGCATGCCTACTGGATTGGACCCCACATAAAACAGGGTGAGTATAACAGTAGCCCAGTAGTTGAACACTCACCTGGGATGTGAGTGACCTGGGTTCAGGTCCCAGTGTGCTTGATCTGGAGCAAGGACTTGAACCCAGGTCTAACCCATCCTAGATGAATATCCCAATCACCAGGTTATAGGGTATTGTGAGTGAGTCTCTCCTGTTGATGTTGTTCTACTTAAATAGTCATTGGTACAGGGACTGGAACCTGCGTCTCTCAGATGAATATCCTAACCACTGAGCTATAGAGTCACTCTCTCTGGCCCAATTAATAATGGCCATCATCACTACCTAATTTTTTTTATGAGAAAGGGCTGACCTGGCTTAAACTCTCCCTAGAGTTAGACACGTATGGCTGTGAATCCCTAGTGAAGATGGGTGCCCAGCTGCCCTTGAGGGGCAGGGCAACTCATGCTGTATATGTTCTGTGGAATGTTACTGAAAAATGACTGGAGTGGCAAAAGAAAGTTAACCTGTCAGCACTATGGCTACTGCCACGCCAGCATGGGGTGCCTGAGGACATAAAAAGCGACAAAGAGTCCTGTGGCACCGTATAGACTAACAGACGTATTGGAGCATAAACTTTCGTGGGTGAATACTCACTTCGTCAGATGTCTG